GGATCACGCGCGCGTTATCGTTCGGCTTATTAGCTAAACAGTAGGCAAGACGGTGCGGGGGGAGGGTCGGCGATCGCATCAAGCGAAGCGAGGCGCTTGAATTTTATTCTCGCGTCCGTAATTTTTTTGCGATTACTCCTAAGATATTCATTTAAATTATATGGTGTAAAAGAGTAAAATAATGTGCATGAAATGCTTAAAGCCTCTAACTTATTTAAAATGATAAGGATTAATACCGTATTTGTGTAAATAGCTTTTACATTACCGCTTTATAATTGCCAATTTTTTAAAGTATTAAAATGGATATAGGTAGTATGTTATCTTTAACATATAGACATATGCCATCGCGGACTTTTCTGTAGGCATATATAAGATACACAATTCCACCATACATTGATACACTACATAAACTTTCGGACCCCCCCGGCTCGGACGCGAGGCGCGGGGTCACGGGGCGCCCGCGCGGCCCGGTCGAATCACGGCGACACGAAATTAATTTCGTTGCGCATTATTTTGATTTTGCTATATCTCCTAAGGTATTCATTTAATTTGCATGGTGTAAAGGGAAAAAATAATCTTCATGAAATGCTCAAGCCAACTAACGTATTTAAAATGATAAGGATTAATACCGTATTTGTGTAAATAGCTTTCCAATTACCGCTTTATAATTGCCCATTTTTTAAAGTATTAAAATGGATATAGTATGTTATCCTTAAGAGATAGACATATGCCATCGCGGACTTTTCTGTAGACCTATATAAGATACACAATTCCACCATACATTATTTTGTTATATCTCAAAGGGTTTAGGCAGCGTTTTCGTTGAAAGCTCCCAGACGGCTTATTTTTTTCCGACACCTCCAACAAATATCGTTAATGTTACAAAAACTTAACAAATTATATACTAAAACCTTCCTCGAGAACCACTCTATCCATTGGTGAAAACAGCATGAAAATTGGTGCAGTAGTTTTTGAGAGATTTTCCACATTTTCCCGAACACCCTGTATACCTGTTTTTGTATGTTTATTGGTAAAAGTATGTAGGCCTGGACTAGGCTTAACTTTTTTGACGAATATACACAGATACAAAACAAAGACGTTCGTTAAAGCAGTGAAACAGGAAGACGCCACCATTAATGCCATTATTTAAACCAACCGGTAATAAATTAATCCATGTAAAGTAGGTTGTAGGTGGATATGTATCATCGCATTAAGGGGGTTAATTGTTTGGTCGCATGCATAATTAAATAACAACTCAATTTAGACTTTGAACAGCGATATAAACTTTATTATAAATATTTCATATAACAACAAATAATTTATAACTAGATGATCATAAATAACGTTCAATATACATTTAAGTAGTGACAGATAACACTTGTACTATGGTAACAAAAAAAATAGAGGAACTAGTATCCATATACGTACAAAAGAACTTGCAATAAAATGTACTCTATAAATTCCTGTCAGCTTGTATTATTTTGATAAAGGAAACCACGTCTGTAGTGTTTCAAGAAATTATCAAAATTATTAATCTACGTTATCTACAATTCCTGAAAAACATAACAACTCTGTATTGTTGGTTGTGTAAGTGTACAATTTGTCCCTATATTATTTGAGATTTATTTTATTTTCATGAATTTATTTCCCGTCAACAATCCACAGAAACAAAACAAAGTTATATTCAGTAGTAACCTCTTTTAAGATTTGAGTTTTGGCGCGACTTTAAGTAGATCTTAGGAGAAAAACAAGAGATGTCAGGGGACAAATGCTTGGTGTTCTTTGCTTTTAATTTAGTTTCAATGGTCAGAAGGAAGGAGCATGTAAAGTTAGCAAAGATACGTATTACCAGAAACGTCCATGTACTTTTAAGTTTTCTGAAGATAGTCATTTTAAGAAAAATAGTTACTGTGTGTAGTTCCTGAGGCGACAGGGCGATTTCACTTTAAATACAGAAACTGCATTACAAAAAAATAAGTAGCGTTTGCTCTATAAACTTTTTTCCTAGGGACGCGGTATACAGGATGTTCAAGTCATATCTTCATATTACGCTGAACAATTTGAATGAAATTTATTACAGCGTATTCACGTAATTAGGCCTTTTATTGAATGTAATATTAACCTCGTGACATTAACCAGTGGCGTGATACTGAAGGTGTCGCTTCGTTTTCCCAAGAAAAAGATACGCCACTGGCAGATTTTTGTAGAAATTATGTTAAATTCAGGTACTGTTACGTTAAATGATTGAAAAGTGATTATTGGTATTTTTTAATAGTAGGAGATAATAGTATACTTATTTGGCGACAATAATGCGCAAATTTAGTCCACATACTCATATTTATTTAAAATCCATCTGCAAAAATTTAATGACTGCATTATCAGTTAGTATCTAAGCTTTACGATGATCTCGTTTTAGTATTATAACTAGCTTTGTTTATTTATTTCTGAAGCTGCAGTCCTTGTTGAACTTATGAACACGAGATAAATTGTGGCAAAGAAATCAAAGAATAGAGGAAAGTTGTAATTTCCTCAGGGAAAATCATGTGATAAGTTCCTTTACAAATAGATTAGAAGATGTCAAAAGTGTATCTATGTGGAAGGACTTCGTTTTGGACAATTGTTGTAGGACTTGTATTCTTTTCTTGGGAAAAATTGACGGACGCTTTACTAGCACGTCACTGGTTAAAACCAGGAGGTTTTCATCAAATGAACGGATTAATATACAGGGTGTTTCAGAAAGATCTCCCGTAAATACAGGGGGAGATAGTACGACATAAAGTAAGAATTTTTTGTCCTATGAACTATATGTCTATCTCCTCTTGTTTTTGAGATACAGAGCGACAAAATAAAATTTTTTAAATAGAATTTTTACGAAAATTTCCAAACGGTGCGAAATATTTTTATGAAATTTGGTATTCCGGGGTTTTTAAGGATGCCAAATACGCTGGTGTAATTATTTTTTGGATATGTCATAGAGGTCGCTAATTATGCTACACCTATTACATTTTAAGTTCTATTTTTTTAAGGTTAGGTTTTAAGGTTAGGTTTTTTACCATTCATTATCCAATTTCTAATGTACAATTTTATTTTCTAAAAATAATGTACTCTTGTTAGAACTTTCTAATGTGGACGGTTTTCGAGAAAAACGGCTTTTAATTAAACTCTTACAATTTTACGGTGTATAAAATAAGTGACTTTTCTCAAAGTGGGCTTATGTCAAAACTTATTGATGAATGTCTCATAAACAACGCATACTTTCTTAGTAATATTTTAAACTCCAATTAACTTTATATCAACATTTTAGTGACTGTAATTAGCCATCACTGACTACAGTCACTAAACTCACAAAAAATTTGTTATAAAGTTAATTAGAGTTTAAAATATTACTAAGAATGTATGCGTTGTTTATGAGACATCCATCAATAAGTTTTGAGAAGAAGTCACTTATTTTATACACCGTAATATTGTAAGAGTTTAATTAAAAGCCTTTTTTCTCGAAAACCGTCCACATTAGGAAATTCTAACAAGAATGCATTATTCTTAAATAAATTGTAAATGGGAGCCCAAATGGTAAAAAACCTACCCTTAAAAAAATTAGAACTTGAAATGTAATAGGAATATAGTAAGTAACTAGAGCCCTCTATGAAATATTCACAAAATAATTAAACCAGCGTATTTGATATCCTTAAAAACCCCGGAATATCAAATTTTATAAAATTATTTCGCACCGTTTGGAAATTTTATTAAAAATTTTGTTTAAAAAAAATTATATTGTCGCTCTGTATCTCGAAAACAATAGGAGATAGACATATAGTTCTTAAGATAAAAAATTCTTATTTTTTGTTGTACTATCACCCTATGTATTTACGGGAGTCTTTCTGAAACACCCTGTATAAGGAAACTTCAACAAGCCCAAATATCTCCTAAACGGCTGCTAGTATTAAAAAACACTAAGAAACATTTTTCATTAATTCAACGTAATAGTACCTGTCACATTATTAATACAAAAAAAAAAACGCCAATGGCGTATTTTTTTCTTAGGGAAATGGGGCGGCACCTCCAGTAGTACGCCACTGGTTAAAGCTAGAATGTTAATATTACATTAAATAAAAGGTCTAATTAAGTGAATACGCTGTAGTAAATTTCATTCAATTCCGTCAGCGCATTATGAATATGCAGCAGAAATCAGAAAAAATATATTTTTTTGTAAACTTTAACACCCTGTATCTCAAATACTGAGTCCGGCAGGGAAAAGGTTTATAGAGCAAACTCTACTTATTTTTTGGTAACGAATCTAGTCTTGTAGTTTCTGTATTTAAAGTGAAATCACCCTGTATATCTGCTACAGTACACAAAACAAATAACTGTTTATAACAATTATCGCAAATCTTGATTACAATTCTTTTTAAAAATATATGGATATATACCCGTTTAAATTAGATAATAAAATGCCTTCCATTTATTATACTACAGGGTGTTTGGTAAGTCGATGCACCCCTTGCAGGAGGTTATAGTACAAGTGATTTGTGATATATTTCCTTAATATACCATATTCCGCAAAAGCTTAGTTTCTGATCTACAGGGTGTTAAAGTTTTAATAAAAAAATGCAAATTTATAAATATTGCGGAGACCGTTCAGAATATTTTAATGAAATTTTATAACTTTGACATTTAACAACAATACACGTTTTACGATAAAAATATTGTTTTTAGTTTCACCAGTGGCGTGCGCACAGGCACGTCTTTGTATATAACAATATCTAGAGACATGCCTGTGCGCACGCCACTGGTGAAACTAAAAACAATATTTTTATCGTAAAACATGTATTGTTGTTAACTGCCAAAGCCTGCAAAATTTCATTAAAATATTCTGAGCGGTTTCCGCAATATTTATAAATTTGCATTTTTTTATTAAAATTTTAACACCCTGTAGATCGGAAACTAAGCGTTTTCGGAATAAGGTATATTAAGGAAATATATCACAAATCGCTTGTACTATAACCTCCGACTATTGACTTACCAAACACCCTGTATAATTAATATTTTCCCTTATAAATACAGTTTTAATCATATACAAACTTTTACCTAACTGACTTGTTCAGTATTCTGCTACTGATTCTACTTTATACCCATTTCTAAATAAAAAAAAAAAAATCGACACTAGTTAATGACTCCCACTTAACTATTCTGCAGATAAAAAAGAACAACCAAACTCAAACCTAGCCAGTTGCTCAGAGCGAATCTACCGCTCTTGTTGCACAGTTTTTCGACTGCACTGATTTTAAAACCTTTCCTGTCGAGCATCCGGTGCACGCTGTGCACCTCAACAGAACTGAGCTTTGTTTCTCTGGATAAAAGCACAGAGAAAAACTGACGAGGCTGAGGATGGCAGAATGTGAGCACCATGTGGTCGCCTACCACTTTCTGGACCTGTATGTTGCCAGCGTAGTGGCTGAACTGGCTTTTTAACACTGCTCCTGAAAAAGAAATTATAGTGGTGATATAGAGGCGTAATATTTTCAGAAATAAATGCGTAGTGACTGTAATGTTTTATTCTTCGTATATTTTTCCTGCTTGTGGCATTTTTAATTTTGCCAGTTAATTTCGAGTGGGTGTGCAAACTTGACACATAATGCGGACTGTAACGTACGAATTAACATAATTACCCAGAAGACCTAGATCTGTAAACAAATTAGGTGAGTCAGAAATTAACGCGCATCATATTGCGGTAAGTAGGCAAGTTTGCTAGAAAGAACAATATTAATTATTATAAGTTGCTCTGTTTAAAAAATCAATCTTCTGATTGGCTCTGGCATAATTTACCGCATCCAAATGTTGACCTATTAATGTAAGGCAAGCGTAGATATCACTATCAATCCTCAGTACATCACTCATTGCATTTTAGTGATAAGTGCCAAACTTTGCGAATGCCTTCTTAGTCCAGTAAATGAAATAAAATTTGTAAAAAAATTCGTTTCAGATTGAAACTTGGTTTAATCGTTAGTTTAGGCAAAAAGAAATAATATTTCCCAAAAAGTATCGGTTTAAAACAAGACTAGACTAGGCGGTATCTGTTTTGGTTTGGGTGAATCGTATATCCACGGAGACTTTTGTCTTTTTGGGTTTCAAATATCACTAGAAATGAAAATTTTTCTATACGCATAAAAAAAACGTGGGCTTAACTTTTGGCGGCACAATATGTTAAAAAAATTCGAAAAATGTCATATTTTTCTTCCTATTTAATTATGTATCTTTTCAAGCCTTGATTTTAGGCGAAAATGGAAGAGGAAAAAAATATTTATAATTAATTTTTTTACTAAACGTGACTAGTTACAAATCGAATATGAATCATGATTATTAAGGTAAAAATTGAAAAAATCGGAAAAATGGGGTTAAAAAACAATACTTTTTAGGGATTTTTTTTTGGGATATTTAAATTGGGTATAGGACCTTTATACTTGGCTCAAAAAAACTTCATATTATGTAGAATTATCACACCAAATTTCATCAAAATCGGTTCGCAGATTTTGCATAATAATTTTGCAATCAAGATTTTGAAAAAAAATTGTAAATTTTCACAATTTTGCACAGCAAAAACCAAGGCCCGTAGATACTTGAAAATTTAATCACATATAGAAGAGCTCCCAAGCTTTCAAACGCTTTTTGAAAAGGATGACGTAACTAATTAATCGATCTGTTTTTTTAAAAGAAGCGTCTTTCCAAGAACTTTTAAAACCTGCTTTAAAAATTTTGATTTGATTGAATATTCACAAAGTTATTCTAATTGTAAACAATTAGAATAACTATACATATAAGTACAAAAATTCGACCAATGTTTAAACAAGCGCCAGAGCTCTCCTAATTGACGGATTCGAATTTTTCAAAGTTTGAAAGCTTGAGAGCCCTTCTATATATGTGATTAAATTTTCAAGTATTTAAGGACCTTGGTTTTTGCTGAGCAAAATTTTGAAAATTTGCAAATTCTTTTTCAAAATCTGGATTGCAAAATTATTATGCAAAATCTATTGAACCGATTTTGATAAAATTTGGTGTGACGATTCTACATAACATGAAGTTTTCTTGAGTCAAGTATAAAGGTCCTATACCCAATTTAAATACCCCAAAAAAATTCCCTAAAAAGTATTGTTTTTTAACCCATTTTTGCGATTTTTTCGATTTTTACCATATTAATCATGATTCATTCGATTTGTAACTAGTCATGTTTTGTAAAAAATTTAATTACAAACATTTTTTTCCTCTTCCATTTTCGGCTAAAATCAACTCTTGAAGAGATACATAATTAAATAGGAAGAAAAATTACAAACCTATTGTGCCGCCAAAAGTTACGCCCACGTTTTTTTTATGCGAATAGAAAAATTTTAATTTCTAGTGATATTTGAAAGCCAAAAAGCCAAAAATCTCCGTGGATATACGATTCACCCAAATATGGCTTTTTGAAACAGATACCGTCTGGACTAATTGTTTAAACAATGATTATAATTTAAAAATTACCAAAAATGCAATTTTTAGCTATATAAAAAAGCGCTCTCCAACAGGAGGTTTTGCTTTTGTTTATACTTATAGGTGTTCAAAAAACGCTTCATTTGAGACCTGCTACATTAAAATCCATTAACAATTTGTTTAAATAATTGCAAAAAAAAACAGCGAAATTTGAATTTGCTATGAATAGAAGAAAAGGGCATAAATCGTCTCTAAACTGCATTAAAAGTTTTATTTTGTTACGCTTAAGAAACGTTGAAAATTTGGTAAAAAAATATTTATTTGTTTACGAGTTTTTGCATTTGTTTATTATTAGAAATAGCATTTTTTAAATTGCAGAACGCGTGTTAGCGTTATAGTAAAGGGCCTTATGAGGGCTCATTTGTTTCGTCTTGACTTATATTTTCAAGATATGCAATTGGAAATTGTAATTTCATAGGCTAACCTCCTCAAAACGGCGTATAAACATAAGTATAGTGTAATTTGTTTATAAGGTTTTTCGTTAATAACTTTGCGAAGAATGAATATTTTTTAAAGCCGCTTTGATATTCGTAATCCTGGTAATTTTTCACAAATTTAAAAAAAAATGTTCTAGGTCCATTTTTAGCCGATAGCGTTTTTTTTAAATCAGAACTTGTTTATTTATAAACAATAAGACTTGAAATTTCGGGAATAAATCAATCAACCCTTAAAATTCATAATAACGGTTAAAGATATTGAAAAAAAAGCATTTTATAGTAATTTTTAACCCTTTAAAAAACGTCCTCGAATACATTTTTACACCAGGAATGTGGTGGGGGAAATAAAATAAACAAGTTCCGAGACTTCAAATCTTAACTGCCCGAAAATTTTACGATATCTCCTGTAATTGTGGACCAATTTTAACGATTTTTTTTTTAATCTGGATTAGCGCATGAAAATAATAACAACTGCATTTTGCAACAATTAATTATTAATTTGTTATAAACTATTAATTTTGTAAAAAAAAATTTTTTTCGCATTTTTTTCGAGAAATAATTTTTCATAATGAAACAATTTTCTTAAAAAACAAAATTTTTATGTAAAAAAGTTCAGGTAATGACATATTTTTTATGTATAAAGTTAATTTTATTGAGAATCGACTGTTTTAATGTTTTAATTTACTTACCTGTTTTAAAACATAATATGTACCTAATTTAATGTTAAAAAATCATACTATTATGCATATTACATCCAAAAACTCGATTCTCATTAAAATAAACTTTAAATTTATTAAAAAATGGACCTAAATTAGCTGTACTTTTTCATGTACTAAGCCCCCTCTACGAAAAGTACGATATCTGGAGTAGTAGGAAAATTGGCATTTAATAAAATTTCGATTAAGTTAACTTTATTATCATATTTTATACATTTCTTAAATTATTTAATTTATTTTAAAAAAAAGTTCCATTAGACTATTTTTAATGTTTTATCAATTTTTTATTAATTTGCGATGTTGTTTTTGTCGGACGCATATTTTTTTGTAATAAATACTTTATTTCAAAATGAAAAAAAAAAAAATAGACTTGCACATACAGGTTCGGAAAGTCCCCATGGTTCATCGGCCGTTGCATGAGAGCGAAGTAAGTCACAGAAATCCGTGCGATAGACAAGGATGGTTACATTGAAGATGTTTCATAATCTGAATAGTTCTAAACGGGCGGTGACTATTCAGATTATGAAACGTCTTCACTGTAGCCATCCTTGTCTATCGCACGGATTTCTGTGACTTGCTTTATCGCTCTCACGTAACGCCCGATGAACCATGAGGACTTTCCAACCCTGTACAAAGAAACATAATCTCGTCATTTTGACATTTTTGGGGCGTTACTTAAGCAATTTACCCAAAATGAAATTTTGGGTTTGTCGGATAAATATTTATTTAATTATTTTGTCATAAAAACTGACCATTCCGATAAAAAAGAAAACGACTACGGAATTCCCGGAATCGCTCGTTCAAAAACGCGACGAACGCTGAAAATTTTCGAAGAGGAAAAGTTTGTCGGACTCGTTATAAAGAGCCACTCGTAAAGTTTGGCACTTACATGTATCACTAAAACGCAATGAGTGATGTGCTGGGGACTACTATATGTTTATCCCTTGGAATATATGTAGATTTGAATATAACTATTCCCCATCCAATACTTGATTGTTTATTATATCACATAAGACGATATCACGGAACTGTATGCTGTATATGAACAATAATAATAATAAAATAAATATGATTTGTGCAAAGCATTAATTTGTTTTTCGAATCTTGCATCAATAATATTGCAGGAAATCAAAATTGCGAAATAAATGTTGCGCATATCTGTTTAGAGAAGTTAAGGGTATTACCCATTACCCAATATATTTAACTCTACAACAAATTGATGACAATATATTTAATCTTTGATATTAGTGACGCTTGATTATTTACAAACTAAAACTAAATAAATAGGGAATGGTTAATAAATCTCGATAACTTGTTTTCTTGGGAATTTTGGAATCTAATATAGTGGAGTCAAGATAGATTTTGACTTCGCGAAAATTACTGGAACTGTTTATTTTTCGCTTTGTAAAGTTGTCAGAAACAACATATAAAAAGTTACCAACTGTAGAGTGTACGCTAAATTATTTATTTAACAAATTAGTTACAATTACAGTTTTTGCAAAATATATAAAAAAATATTTAAAAAAAAATAACTGCGCCATTCGAAAGAACAGGAAATTTTACATAAAAAATGTTAATAAAGTTTTTTTTCGAAAATGCAAATTGAAGGCTGTAGAATTTTTTTTCTAACGTACGAAAAATGAGACGGGCGGCCCCGAGCGCGCTACACTAATTTTGTTATAACTTTTGATCTAGTTGATCAAATCGACCTCACAAAAATTTAAATGAAAGAAGAGTCATCCGGCTATCAAAATTTTATGTCTTTAAACTTCATTAAACTTGAGAAAAAAATATATATAGTATGTATACAAAGTTAGGTCATTCTATAATTTTGTACAATAATAAAATAGCTGTCATTCTTTTAATATTTAAAAGAAATATATGAATCTCATACTCATGACGATTGAAACGGTGATCGACATGGAAAAATTCTTAAAAATTGAATTTGAAAAAATATTGAGCCCAACATATTCAATAATTTTAAAAAATCATAAATTTGAAACTTTACGAGAGCACTTTTTAAAGCTGAAAATTTCTACTTTAATATGGTGCATTTTATTTTTCTTTAAAAAATGAAATAATAGTTGAAAAAACAAAAAATAGCAAAAAATGAAAGTATTTCATGAAAAATCCGTGAAATTTATTGTTAAATAAAGTTTTATAATGTACAAAAAAAAATTTTTTTGTTTAATAAACCATCAAAGAATTAAGTTAAGCCCTTAAAGAAAGTAAATCCAGCGAAAAATTTATTTATTTTATAGTTTTTTTTATTTATAGTAATAAGTGAAAAATTGTTATAACTGCAAAAAAATAACATTTTTTTGATGAATTGGTTTAATATTCATTTTTAAAACGTAGATATATTCTGTATCTGAAATTTTGAATATAAGTTATCTTATTGATGTAGACACAGAAAAGCGTTTTTCGTTTATAAGGATTAAATAATTATTATGGTATAAAAATATGATTTTTATGTTTTCGAGTAAGCTGCAGTTATCAGTGTGTTAAAAAGTGTATTATTCACATATTTTGTCCATTTTTATTCCATTTTTAATCTTCAGTTTGCATTTAAGTTATTTATATTCGTTTTCTTTTATGCTAAACCTGTAAATGTATGAGTTTAATATTTATATAAATGAATACTGATCCATTTTTAAAATAATTAATGAATAAATAAATAATAGGGAACGAAGAAGACCAAGAACTCGATGAGATTTAAAAATTAATTATTTTGTAATAAATTTGTTTTTTAAAAAATAAAACATATTTTCAATAAAACCTCTTTAGCCATTTATAATTTTCATTTTTCGAACCTCTATATTACAAATATGAGCGAGTCTGATTTAAAATCACTAATTGTTAAATAAGTTGTTTAAAATAGTCGGCCATATTGGATCGGCCATTTTGAATTTTCATTTTCCGACATCATATTCTTGTTTAGCGACCTCAAAAACCCCCAATTACGAATATAAACGAGTTTGATTTAAAATCGATAATCGTTAAATAAATTGTTTAAAATAGTCGGCCATATTGGATCAGCCATTTTGAATTTTCATTTTCCGACTTCATATTCTTGTTCAGCGATATCAAAAACGACTATATTGTCAATTTGAAAGAATTCGATTTAAAATTCATTGAATTATTTTAAATGTTCTTAAAAAAAACTATTTATTAAAAAAACAATTAGCGTACAAAAATGAGTTTATAACTTTTTTCTAATACTTATCCAAGTAAGGTTTTAGAAAAATCCGTGTTTCCCATAATTATTTCGAAATAATGCGTAATTTTAAGCTATCTTGACTCCACTAATAACAAAACTAGATAATTTTCTTCAACGTAGTACATGTTTTTGTTTTTCTGGAAATCTTGACGTATAACGAAAATGAAGAAGCCCGAAAAATTCAAAACTCATGCGCCAAAACAATATACAAATAATTTTCATCACCCCAACCCTTTGGAGAAGTCGGTAATCTGCAAATTAATGGTTTTCCAGAGTCTGAATTTTCCAGATTTTTTGATCTGATTGATTTTTGTTTGTTTTGACCAAGAGGACCAATCCTGCGGTTGTCGCAACATTATTATTTTTATTGTAGAATCTAAGTACTTACCATTTTCCGGACCTGAACTGATCCAGAACCCAGGCTCGGTAATATTATACCACACGTGGTATTCGGTGCTGTCTCCCTCCTCGTCCCAGTATATCCTCAGATGGCCCTTGTCCATGTTGTAATTTTGGTACGTCCTCCTGGGATAGTTCCTTTCGTGCGTCATCCCGCTGACGTATTCAAGTTTCTGCCGACGTTCTTGGTCGATTTGTTCTCGAGTTTTTCCATACTGGGACCCATCCGTACCATAACCAAAACCTGAAATATTTTCTGTAGTTATTCATTCTAGTTTTGATGAGCCCTTAAAAAAATAAACTACCTTCTCCGTAGCCTCTGTATTGGTTACCCTTGTACAAAGGATTCAGCGTAGTATGAGATCGATCTTCAGAGATATGGATAACCGGGCAAGTCCGCAAACGCTTTGCATAATGTCTTTCGTCGAGATGATCTATTTTTTCTACGACGAACCACATTCCCATCAACTAAAAAAATATAGGTAGCTCTTAAGAATATTCGAGGAGTTTTTTTGGCAACTGAGGATCTTTTGAAAACCTTTAGAAATTAATGGATTCGCTATCTACCTATCTATTTATCTATCTAAAGAAAAATCTAACAGTAAAAATACCCAAGAACAACAACTGCTAAGTTGCTAAATTTCAAAATTTTTTTAGTGATTTTTTGAAAGACTGTAACTGTAAAGAAGCGTATTGAGGCTTGAATATTCCAGTTTGAAAAATTTTTTTTGAGCATAACTCGGCGCAATCAAAAGAAATAATGCAGGGCACTTGTTTTCCATTTTTTTTTCAAAACTGCTATGGGCTCAAAAAATTTTTTTCTGGTTTAATCAATGCCAGGGTCATTTAGCCTGGATTCATCAGCTTCAATCTGTTTTTTTTTTATTTTCTGTACAATTATTTCTCATTGAGATATCAGCTATTAAGTGTTTTTTTTTATCATCGATATCGACAATGCGAAGAGTACCAATGTTTGTAGGTTTTTTTTAGCTCAGTACATGCCCATAAGGCCTGTAAATTTTGAAATTGATCGGTCGAACTATTTTCCTTTCCTGAATCGTCAAAATTTTATAAAAAAATTAAAGGCAGGTTTATTGCTTCTTAAACATCAATTAATAATTAAGATGAAACAATTTTTTGAGTTATTTTTTAACTTTCACGTTTGACACTCATCAAATATTGAAAAAAGAAATTCAAAATTTTGAAAAAAAATTAATTTTCAAAAAAACTAATTTTTTAAAAATTTTTAAAATTTTTTTCCGCTCTCTTTTTACAATTTTACATTGAATATTTCAAATGTCAAGTAAAAAAATTTTTTTTTAAATTTAAAAAAGTTGATTGAGAAATATGAGATCGGTTATTCCAAAACGCAGTATCAAGAAACAAATGATAAGGCCATGACGTAAGTTAGTCGTGGCTAGCTTGTAATCGTAACTCTTGTTGGCCAACTGTTTCATTTCTTTCAAAAATTTGAAAGAAATCATTGTTGTGTCCTTTCTTTTGTACTTTCGTAAATAAAATTAATTCTGGTTAAGTTTGTAATAAATAATTCTAATGAGCCGAATCATTCAGTGAAATTTTTATTCCAAACGAAAATGTCCAACCGAAAACTTTTTTATTTTTGGCGTTAGGAAAAGATTCCTATAAAAGTTGTGTGGTCCTTTGAGCTTTGAGGTCTTCAAGTCTTCAGAACTTCGTTTTTAGAAAAAAAAACAATTAAAGATCACATAAACGACTTCTAAATGGAAGTTTCTATGATTTTAACAATATAAATTCGTTATATTTTTACTTCAGTAGTTTTTTCCAGATAAAACTTTTAAATAACTTTTAAGGATAATCCAACTACACAAGTGAAATCTAATTACATATTTTCATCTTTTGATAAATATTACATCGAACAAAACTTAAAAGTGTTATAAAGGCGTTACAATCTTAAGTGTTTTGTATAATATTGTTTTCAATATATTTTAAATATTATGTCTATAGTGAATTAAAAAGTCTTATTCTGAACAAAATACTGGAGCAGCTTTATTCATATATTCTTATTTTTAATAACAAAAATACAGTGTTCTATTCATATATCCTATGATCATCAGTTTCTCCAAAAATTAATTTTTGAAGCTTTCAAAGTGCATATAACTTATGGGGAACTTGTTTCTTAAAAAAATTAGATTGTTTTCTAAAAATCGTATTTTACGAATTAAAAATTAGAAAAATGTCGCAATCAGTGTTCTTGTTTGCCCCAAAATGACTGACATGTAAATTGTGCTATTTTTATAGAAATTAAAATTTAATACTTTACATAATATAAATTTAGCAAAAAAATTAAAGGAACAGAAAAATTTTCAAATTTTTTTAGAGATTTTTGAAAGGCTGTGGCTTCCTGAATAATGGTCGGATCCAAATGGTTTTCAAATCGTGATATGAAAAATTTTTTTGCGCATCACAGCGCAATCAAAAGAAATAATACAAAGCAAAAATTTAACAGTTTCTTTTTTTTTCAAAACTATACACAGGCTCAAATTTTTTTTCTGGCTTAATCAATGCCAAGGTCATTTAGCCTGATTCATCTGCCTTAATTAAATACTCATCAAATATCGAAAAAAAAAACATAGCCAGTGGTAAAAAAAAATGTGAATAAAAAAAATTTTGAATTATTTTTACCTGTGGCACGCTCATAATTTGTTGTGGTTGCATATTCGCACAATAATAACTGGATGAATATTGCTCCACGGCACTGGTGAAACAAATGAAGAACGTTAGGTAGGTCCACATAATTCCCATGGTTGCTTGATGCACAACTGCACTAACACAGGAAAAGATGCTCGCTTGTAGGAGCCAAGTACCGGCCCTGCGACTGAAGAGAGTTTAAGCCAATTATAAATTTAAAGTAGACGTTTATATATGCCTGCAATTGGAGGAGTCTTGAAATGCAGCAAGTAGTTTGCGTGCAGTTAATGAAATAAGTGAACGAAATTTTGAAAATAACTTGTCTTGTTAGTGATATACTGCAGAATATGGAAATGATTGTGAAGGATCAATAAAATTTTTTTTATGTTAATCGTAAAACGTTGGAAATTTATAAGGTATACTGGGTGTTTCACCTAAGGCGGATTCTTCCAGAGCTCTGTTATTTTAAATTTAATTTAAAAAATGTTTCATATAAAAGTTGTCTGAAATTATATTGGGCAACCCTGTAGAATATTTTCATTTCAGGAGCTCCGTTTCTTCTGAAGGATACACAACTTCGTTATTTTAAATGGAACACCCTGTATGTAAGTGGTTTTTCGGGTTCCTCGTTTAATTTTAGGTTGACCTGGTACCTAGAACCCGCCGTTTCTAAGATATTCGACTGTTTTTGGAAAATATTACGATGATAAACTAAAAGAGTTAGGAACAGTTCGCACAAATTTCTCCTATCTTTTACGTTTTTGGAAAAAATTAAGTTTTTCAGAACGGGAAATATTAAGACCTACGTTTGACAATCTTAGAAGACGAATAACTTTTTTTTCAAGTGGGATGGCCCAAATTAATTGCTATTGTTGAATGCCAAATTAAATTTCCTTTCGATTGATATAAGGTTTGCTTATCTTACTTATCTCTAACAGTTTCCGAGAAAAAATTGGTTTTATCTAAATTCCAAAAAAAGTAGTAACCAACATCGTCAAGCGTCAAGTAGGCTTTGCCCAATCACTTTTCCTTCACATTTTATCAGGCTTGGGACTGGCAGTAATAATATTTTATAGGCATGTTTAAAAAGTGGTTTAACAAACAAAACTGAACAACTAGCAACTAAAAACAAAATTTAAACGAAAACTCAGAATACGATTAGGTGAAACACTCGGTATATTTAAATTGTACACGCTTTATACTTATACCCTCCTATTAGTTTAATTTCTTTCTTGGGTAGACCTAAAGGTCACCCAATGGTTAATGATTGAATTACTATTGTTATTTATCTGCAATTAATTGCATTTAAATACTGATTGTGGTTAATAATTTATAGTGATTAATAATTAATTCATATCTCATTCAAAACTAGCAGTTACAATAAATGTTAAAGAGTTTACATAGCATTTTCTATTACTAGTGTTAGCATACGTGTAATATTCACTGGAATGAAGAATATAAATGTTTTTGTTATGCTTAGGAAGTGATGGAAATTCTATTGATAATTTTTTATTACTTTATAACTATGAAAATGTAAAAAATATCTGGGAACTTCTTACTTCTTGGTATCTGAGAAAAAAAGTGGTATCAACTTACAAACCCAGATTAACAGTTCTATTTATTTATATTACAAACCGAATATTACTAAATACTATAAAATAGATGATGTTATAGCTGATAAACTTGAATTTATGTGACGTGACCTAAGAGATAAAACTAAATGTTTTCTTTTATTTAATTCATTATAATTATTGAACATTGCATATTCATTTGTGGCTGATGTGCGTACACCATATAAGATAGTGTGAATATTTTATCGAAAATGGCTTCATGTAAGTAACATATTTTCAGTTATAATATCACAAGAGCATGGAAAATATTCGATTATACCACAACAGCGTAGCTGGAGTGGTGTTTTAAGGATATACGTCGAGTGAGGAGGTTAGTATAATCGAATATTTTCCTTTGCTCGAGTGGTATTCGATACGATTACATAATGAATTAATTTTTTTTGACGTTTAAATTTTTTTTGATGTTTATTGACAAATGTTAAAACTATCATTACCGTGACATAGTTCACATTGTTGGAGGAGGCGAAACACCAAAACGGTTATACCACGTCGTCAAGAGTATAATCGCTTATCAATACATAGTAACTACGTAAAATTTGTAATTGCTATTGGCTAAATTTGTAATGAATTATAACGAGCGTTCAAATAAAAACGTGGTCAAGTTGGTTCTGAAAATTTGGACGTAGGGCGTAGCGTATAGCAAATGAACTTAAACGTCATCTGTCAAAGCGCTATATCGCCGCTATCAATTTGAATATTTTCGTTTTAAAAAGCGTTTAAAATGGTGTTTTCTCAAGAACAAAAAGTGTTTATCACAGAGTCCTACTTTAGAAAAGGACGCAAGATTGATGGAATATGGAAGTATTCTATTGAGGAATGTTTCATAGAATTTCAAAATCAATTTCCCGGCGTTGTTGAGTACAAAATTTTTCAAAGTGCAGTTCAGCGTTGTGTTAATGTTTTTCGTGAAACGGGCAGTGTAACAAAAAAAGAAGGAAGCGGCCGACCTAAAAAGCGGACTGAAGAATTAAAAGAAAATGTCCAACAAATAATGGAAAATGCGCCAAGAACTTCTGTACGTGTTTTATCACAAATGGTGGGAGTATCAGTCGGTACCTGCCACACAGTGTTAAAAAAAGATTTGCGTTTGTTCTCCTATCGTTTAACTTGTCAGCAAGAACTTCATGAAGTTGATTTTCCGCGACGGGCTGTATTTTGTGAATGGTTTTTAAACAACTACGGTGAACTTCATAATATCACCTTTTTTTCTGATGAAGCCTGGTTTCATTTAAGTGGTTACGTAAACTCACAGAATATGAGAATGTGGTCTTCTGAAAAACCAGATAACTTTTTTGTCGAGGGCCCTCTACACGCTCAAAAAATTGGAGTTTGGTGTGCTCTCAATCGAAGGAGGATTTATGGGCCTATTTTTTTTAATGGTATTCTTACTGCGCAAAGGTATAGAGAAGAAATTATCGCTCCTTTTGTTAACCAGCTGGAAGAAAACGAAATTACAAACTTTTACTTTCAACAAGATGGCGCAAGGGCACATACGGCAGGCGAGACGATGAATATGTTGAGGGAAGTTTTCCAAAATCGACTAATAAGTCTCAATGCTGAACATGAATTTCCACCGAGGTCATGTGATAATTACGCCGTGTGATTTCTTTTTGTGGCCTTACCTTAAAAACACTATTTTTGAACTGCCTATTCCTGATTTAAACCATCTGCAGGCTCGACTTATAGACAACATTCGTGAAATTAACAATACCCCGAGCATCTTAGAAAATGTCTTTAATTCTTTGAGAAACAGGTGTGAAAAGTGCTTGGAACAAGGAGGGGGACACTTTCAGCAGCTGCTTTAATTTATTGTTATAACAGGGAGGGGGACACTTTCCGCAGCTCCTTTAATTGTTAGTTATTGTTATCACGATTATTCTTTAAAATAAAGTTATATAGTCATTTACGTTATTGNACGTTATTGAAACTGACAGCTGATATACAGCTCGTTGAGAAATGAGGTTAAGTTGGTCGCTATAAGCTACTCCCTACGTCCAATGTGTCAGAGCCAACTTCGACCACGTTTTTATTTGAACGCTCGTTATAATCAAAATTATATTTCGTTTGTTTTACAGATGTCAAATTGTCACTCTAAAATTTAAGAATCACATTAGTTTTTTATTTCATGTTCTTATGAAACATTAAGGAAATTTTCTGTTACAAAAACGTGAAATTTGATGCAAAAAATAATATCTTTTTTTTTAATGTTATATTCTTTAAAAATATGTCATTAATAAGTTCATATTGCTTTTATAGCCGATTAAACTTTATTCGATCATTCGCTTCTAGTTTCTATAGAGTAGATCCATTTTGTCTTTTTGACCTAAAGTCCCTATAAACCTAAATCCGCCACTGCGTTCAGTTTCTAACATCCTTCAAAAATGTTTACTATTATTTCATATCGCTTTCAATACTGTTTTCATGTTAGATGATAACATCGATAACTTATTTTTTGCTCGGTCGAGAAGTTTATGATCTAAATATTTAAAAATGAAAAAAAAGGCAAGAACTAGAATTACTTCAGTCAACAAGAGATGGCAGCACATACACTAGGGATTCATAAAAATAAAACAAAGACTTTAACTATTCGAACTCGCCGGTAGATGTAGATAGCAATAGCGTTTCTAAATTTTTATAATCTTTCAATTTTTCATTATTTATTAGGTTTCGTGTTTCGTATTTCATCCCAAAATATATCTTTTAAATCAATGTAATGAAAATAAGTAATATAAATGTGCTTTATTCAAATCATCGTGAGACAGAAGTCTTAGGCGTAAATTGAGTCCAGTGGCGCAGGGCTACATTTATTAAATAGGAGTTTGTTATTATGTTTACAAAGGGGAGTTTCCTAACCTGCGTCGAATTGATGTTTGTCGTATATGTGATGCGTAATTCTCGGTTCTAGGAATTAATTATGTACAAATAACAGCCGAATCAAATCAAGGTCGTATTCTGACAATCGATTAAAAATAAAACTCTGCCGGCGATCTTGTAGCTTTCGGGTTTTCTATGCAGTTCTCATTCAGAAAGAAGTGTAAGTGGTCCTGCTTTAATTCCCCGGACGAGACATTACTTGGTACTTACATTTAATTATTTTCCATCACTATTATAGTTTATTAAATAATTTGTTTCTCACCAGCCAGTTTGTGTTAGAGTATATCCTCTACTTGGTTGAAGAAAGAAACAGTGTGATACTTTAGTAAACATGTATTTTTCTTTTTCAGTTTCGGTTGTTTTCTTGCTAGTAGGAGTCGTAGTATCATCAAACTTAATTATGGCTGAGGAACAGAAGGAATTAAAGGCTGTGCTACATGGAAATGGGGAACTTACAAAGAACCTTTACAATATTTTGGCTAAGAAACCTGGCAATGTATTCTTCTCTCCCATAAGTATCCACGCAATTCTCTCGTTAGTATACCAAGGTTCAAGAGGTCGTACTCAAGAAGCGTTTACTAAAGCTTTAAATGTGCCCGATGTTAGAGTGGCTGCCAAGGGATATAAAGACGTTATGTCACGTCTCAATTCCGTGAAGGACGTAACTCTTCTGATAGCTAACAAAGTATTTTTGCAAGAATCTTATAAACTTCAACAAGACTTCAGCACTGTGGCAGTGCAGCAGTTTTCGTCTGAGGTAGAGCTATTGAATTTTAAACAGCCTAAAGTCGCCGCGTCATCCATTAATACCTGGGTCGAGAATAAAACCAATAACAAAATTAGAGATCTTATTAATCCCGAAGACTTAGACGATAACACAGTTCTGGTGCTTGTCAATGCAATTTATTTTAAAGGCAAATGGGCGCTCCCATTCGACGTGCATAACACTAGAACCGAAAAATTCTACCTGAACGATGTCGATACCGTTGATGTGCAGATGATGCATATAAAAAAGAAGTTTTTCTACAAGGAGGATGCCAACTTGAACGCCAAAGTTTTAGAGTTGCCTTATTCCAATAAGAACATCAGTCTGATTGTCATCCTGCCAAATGAACGAAACGGTATCGCAGATTTGGAGCAGAAACTTGCGAGCACAGACATAATGAAGATCACGGAGAATATGCACAAACCGGAGGTTGAAGTGGCTCTTCCCAAGTTCAAAATCGAACAAACCATCGATCTTCAGGACTCTTTAACCGAGGTGAGTACGATACGTTTAAAAATTATTTTCCCTCACTTGAATGATCAGAAAAAATTAAACCGTTGTTAATATATCAACCACTTGAACTAATTTATACAGGATTTTAAACTTCAAATATAATTTTCTTGAATACTTAAAAATAATGAAAATAAAAATTAACTTAATTTATGTGGTTAAAATGCACTTATTGTACTAAAAAAAAAAATTGATCTCTAGATATTTTCTCTTACAAAGTAGTATAAAATTGCTTGCTTTACTTACTTTTTTTTGTGCAGTTTTAGTCTTAACTTAGCTCAAGATATTGTGGTCCCAAATTTCATTAAAATATTTTTATAATTATCGGCGTTATGTACATTTGTACATTGAATATCCATAAATAGCTTAAAAAAATATATACATATACATTTTAAATACATAACCTGAAGAGTTTAAAAAGGAAAATTTTGGAACATTTAGAGTGTTAATATTATGCTCAAACTATAACCTCATTTATTTTTCACAAATTCTAACCTTGACAATAATAATAATAATGTAACAAAAGTCATCCTTATTTTGTTTATTCATTTGTTTACTAATTTGTTTTATGATGTTTCTAGAGCATGTTAGGTACAATAGTGAAACTCAATATTGTCAAAATTTGTAAACTGTTGTTGTAACTTGTGTATTAATTGTGTTAAATAAAGGAAATTTTGGTACATCAGGAGTTAGATTCTGACGACTATCAGTTTGAGGAGACACTGGATGCCAGTGAGAAGATTTAAAGTAGCAGAAGAGAAAAGAGGAATGAGACATATTCTAAAAACATCATAAAACAAATGTATAAACACACTAGGGTGACTTTTTGTACTACAACACATTTTGAAATGGATCTTATTACAATTCAATTTGACAATCTCCAAAACAACATTTGAATTTGTTGCAGCTCGGACTCGGTGTCATATTCGATCAGGAGAATGCAGAACTCACAGGAATCATTGAGACTAAAGAACAATTGTATGTGAGCAAAGCGGTCCAAAAGGCATTCATTGAAGTAAACGAAGAAGGAGCGGAAGCAGCTGCTGCGACTGGTGAGTAACCGTGTCCTTAACTCTGTTGATTTGCGATTTGTTTGCTTGAGCTTTGCTGGCTTTTCTTTGCTCGTTTGCTTTGTCTCGTACTTTTTATTCAGATACACTACACCGTTCTAGAATTACATGTCGATACAAATAATATTTATCTTTTTATAGCCGTACTTAATTTTCTGAAACAAATTGCTTTCGTTCTTTTTTATTAAAATTAAATATAAAATTGTGGATTCTCAGAGTGTGATTGCTGCTAAGCAACATGATGAAATATTTAAACATATTTTATTAGACGTGCACATACATACAAATATTTATGCATACACTCACATTACACCTAAAAATAACTGTGAATCATTTATTTTCTTAAAAATACGATTAGAAGTGTACAACTTCTATTTTAAACATTATAGTACTTATTTAGAAAAATATATATTACTTCTTACGTTTTTAATGGCCCGTTTAATGTATTTTCCTTGTAATGCAGTGTTGTATCGGTTCTTAATTTTTTTTTGTACGTAATGTTTTTGTTTTAAAATGGTCGCAAGACACGGCCAATTTGACAGCTGTAGCATCAACATTTTGACAGTTGAGCGATTCACTTTACAATCGGTAATGAATATTTATATTATTATTCAGAAAAGACTGGGATGGTCACTTAAATTTTGCTCTCCTTGCACAAATAAAGTTCTTAAACAAACAGAATTGCAGCTTTACAAAATAGCTTGATAAAAAAATTCACACAAATTCCTTTGTTTCTGTAGTTAATTTTCTGCTTTCCTTTACTTATTTTAGTAAACTTTAAGTACATGTTGTCATTTTTGGTACCTAGATGTATTTGTGTCACCTGGGATGTCTTGGACATTTCCCAACGAATTTATCGCTAACAAACCTTTTGTTGTTATTTTGACGATAAAAGACAGCACTGATGACGACAACGCTTTAATCCTACACAATATGTTATTTTTTCGAAGAGTAACAAAACCTTACAATCAAGAGGTCACCAATCATGGCCAACTATAAAATAAATTATTGTACAAATTTTTGTACCCTCTAGTAACGTATAGTCGTAGAAATAGTACTCAAATTATTTTTTGATGTAACGGCACATATTTAATTTTGTGTACAGAATAATGTTTTGAAGTTTTACTTGTCCAATTTGTGTTCTGGTTACGTTTCATGTCATTCCCTTTAAATTATATTCCATTTAAAAATCATGTCGTGCAGAGCTAGTTCAATTCATTCAATGGTAACATGCAAAATAAATCCAATTAATGGAAGGTAGTGGTGATATTTTGAGTGAATTTAATGTAAAAATTACGTTTCCTGCTTTTCTTCTTATGATAAACCGAATTAATGAAATTTGTAGCAGATGTAATTAAAACAAGATGTAAACGTAAAGAAAAAAGAGGAAAGATCAAAGAGAAAAATGTACAGGGTAGGAAATAAGATCCACTTCTTATTTGTGGAAGGGCGAAATGGGCGTTGACTATTTAGACACCTTCATTAAAGCCATCCTTGTCTATCACATGGATTTCTATGGCTTACTTTATCGCTCTCACGTAACTTCTGATAGACCATCGGTACTTTCCTACACTGTATAGTCCCAGAGTATTTTTCTTGTGGTTTATTAAAGAAAATTGTCAAGATGTACTGCAAACATATACAACCAAAGACACAAAAAGTGTCCATTGATATATTATAAACCAATGTAATTGCTTGAGAAAATTAACAAATGACGTAATCCATTTTTTTATTATTTATTATAAAATGAATTCTTGAAAAGAGACATGAAAAAGTTTCATTGATTTCAAGTTTGTATGTGAACTAGCTCTGTACGAGCACAGTATTGAAAATTTAAAACCTCATTTCGTGCATTTCAAGGTATATAAATATCCTGACTGGGATGTAAACAATTTTTTTTAATTTTTCCTGGGACAGCAGTCATAAACAAAATTCTTCTACATAAATGTTTACAGATCTATTAAAAATATATGCATTTCATGAATTTTTTTCCCGTCTTCAGATTTTACAAAAAGATGTAAACAAATATTTTATTTTTCCTGGAACAGCGATCATAAATAAAATTCTTCCACATCAATGTTTACGGATTTATTAAAAATATGTACATTTCAGAAATTTTTTTCCATCTTCAATTTTACAAAAAAACATACTAAAGTAAACAAATACTAAAAAAAATAACAAAATATATATTTTTTTAATTACAATTTAATTATGTAGCAACAATCCGTTATAACTTTTTTTTTTTGGTAAAAAGTAAGAAAAAAATAATTTGAAAATTATTGAAACATTTTCTTGAAGCATTTATTTATTATAGGTTTTTTTTATACGTACAAGAGTAAATTTTGTATTAAAAAATTTTCAAAACTTGCAAAAGCGTATTGGAAATTTGTTGATACCTAATCCATCTGTTTTTATTCCATATTCAAATAGATTTTGTAGAAATTAGCAAAATTTCAGTTTCAAAATATCTTCTGTTAATATGTAAATACATAAACAACATACGCACGAATTTTCCGCTTCTGTGATTAATTTCTCACTTTTCTTTACTTAATTCAATGCCAAAACTGAAGTATTGTCGTTTTCCTTAGGGATAATTACGAGACTGAAAAGATCTGCGACATTCCCTAAGGAATTTATCGCTAACAAACCCTTTGTTGTTATTTTGACGATAAAAGACGACAAGGATCAGGACAACGCTTTAACCCCACACAATGTGTTATTTTATGGAAAAATAACGGATCCTCATAACACTCGAGAGGTTCAACATGATGAGCTATAAAAAAATTAACGTGCACAGTTGTATTTGGAGGAGTAATACTCAAATTATTTCCCGATTTAACCACATTTTTAATTTTCTGTATAGAGCAATTTTCTAAGATCTTTCTTGTGGTATTGTTTGTCCCATTTATTACAGTCATATCATTCCATTTAAATGATATTGCACTATTTTTATTAGCATTTTTAATTATTTAAGTGACTGACACACAATGCTAGTTCACATCAAGTGTGTGCGTTTAACAAGCAAAGTTCGCAACGTCAAAAAAAAAAGTGTGCATTTAATAAGCAAATTTGTTGGCAACATTTAAAAAAAAGTTCAAATAACAGAAACTAACGTTTACATAACTAGTTTTAAAAATTGCGTCAGCTGCTTTTATTTTCTCATTTATTATCAACTGAATTTTTGAAATTTTTAGCTGTCATCTTAAAAAATATATGTTTGCGTAAAGGTCCCAAGCCAAAGTTTTTTGCAGATAAACCGTTCCTTATTATTTTAATTTCTAAAGAAGTTGATGAAGAGCACGACGGTCGAATAATGTGCAATGTGCTTTTTTATGGAAAGATAGCCAACCCTTTGATTATTAAAGAAAATAGAAGTGATGAACTGTAAACTTAATAACCATAAAAAATTTTTGACAGTACATTATAAACCAATATAATTGCTTGAGAAAATTGCATCCATTGATATAAAAATCAAGACTCTGATTTTTAACATGAAATTTAGTCGATGTGCAATTTGTATGTGAACTAGTTTTGTGTGAAAAATCCACTCAATATTTAAAAATTTTAAGTAAACAAAATAAGCATTTATTTATTTGTATAAGTTATATCTTTTCTATGTATAGCATGTTGTAAAATTTTGAATCTCAACTACAGTCGGTACAATATTTATTGAAATAGAATTCTAAGATAAGAATAAGCCAATAAAGTTCTGTTATCGGAACTACTGTAACAATTTACCGGAGCAGGGGCGTGCCTTGAATATTAAAATATAAACGCGATACTCCTCAACTGTGAATTCCTTTCTTTTATTTTTCACCTTTTTTAATTCATTTTAATAAGAAATTACACTGAAAATGCACTTACGTAGAAACATGCCTTTGTAACTGCGAACAACTGCAAGCTGCTAATGTGAACGCCAAACCGCCAGTGTATATCTACTTTGGGTGTCGAATGCAGTTAATTCCAAGAAAGTGATGCAGGGGTCTTCTTGGAATTCTATCTCATCAAATATCGTACGGACTGTGCTTTGAAAATTGTCGACTAGTTAACGTCATTTACTCTATTGTGTAACTCGTGCTCACTAAATGTTAATGTTTGGAGTTGGATGTAGTTTGTATGCTTTGTATCCGATATTGGCTCATTTTAAACTGGTAGTTATTATTGTTACGACAACATCTAAAAAAATATGTATACCTCAAGTTATTAAAAAGCGCGTACACTAATATTGGGCAAATCAGTACAGTTCGATTTTCAAGATAGTCACTTCAATCTTGCTCTCCACAAATAAAATCTTTTATTTGTGAAACACTTATTGGATATTCAGTTAAACAATTCAGTTTTGTAGGAATTACGTGAATTTTGATATCTTGTGTTCTTATTAACATGGAAAATATTCCCTCGAATTTATTTGCTTCTATAGTTAATTTTCCTTTACGTGTCTTAATTCGTAAACTGAAGGGTTGTTGTTTTTCTTAGCGGTAATTGTGAGATTGAAAAGATCTGAGACATTTGCTAATGTATTTATTGTTATCAAACCTGTTGTTATTATTTTGAGCCTCAATACGTTCAATATGGAAGCAAAGTGAATTTAACTGTCTATTACGCATACGCTATTCATCTTCTCGATCGCACTAAATGACGTCACGAATTAGCGCGGCAGCAAACACCCTCTTAATACTTTATTTTGCGCGCCAAATTTTAATAATTATAATTATTCAACGACCTTCAAGATTTTTCTAATGCTTTCATTACATTACAGATTATTTCTAGATATTTAATTAAAAGTTTCTCATTGTCTGACATTTTACTTGGGATTTATATTAAGTTCATTTTATATAGCGACTATATATTAGAATTAGAGCAATCTCATTCTATTTAGAGGATATTGCAGTGTTTGTTTTTGTATTATCGAAGCTGCCAAGCAGTGCTAGTTCGCATTAAATGTGTATAACAGACAACATATGACTTCAATACACAAAAAA